GAAGAAGGAAGCCGCGCTGGTGTTTGTCCTTGTGGGAGAGACGGAGCGAAACCCGTCGGGTGGGAATAAAGAAGCAATGAAGGGTTTCGGCCGGAGTTCCCCTCCTTGCTTCCTTTAGCGGCCACGGAATGCCCCTCGCGAAGCCTTCGGCCCCTTGATGATCCAGGGGAGACCTTCGCCTCGGCTCTTGTCCATTCCCCACGTGAGTGAGTGGCCGGAGAAGCGACACGGGTTGGAAAAAGTTAAGTTCAAGTGGCCGTTTCGAGGTAGGGCGGCCACCTTCCTGAGGCTAGTCCGTCTCCTCAACTCTTGCTCTGGATCCATGTGTGTGAGAGATTTATTATCTCTGCATTTATGCACGCCAGCACACTCCAAAGAGCAGCAGTACATGGCATTATAATCAATTTATTAGGATCCTCTGGCAGTTATAGAATGCTAAGCTAAAAGTTCAAGTGGCCGTTTCGAGGTAGGGCGGCCACCTTCCTGAGGCTAGTCCGTCTCCTCAACTCTTGCTCTGGATCCATGTGTGTGAGAGATTTATTATCTCTGCATTTATGCACGCCAGCACACTCCAAAGAGCAGCAGTACATGGCATTATAATCAATTTATTAGGATCCTCTGGCAGTTATAGAATGCTAAGCTAAGACAAGGCAGCTCAATGGTGGCTGATCATGTTGGGATTCGTGACTGCAGAGACCCGGGATTCCGTGTGAGGAGGGGGAGGGGAGAGGAGGGGAGGGGGAGACCAGCAGCTCCAAAATCTGTGGACCTGGTCAAGGATTCCCAAGTCCTACTTACAGAGGGTTGAAGCTGCAAATTTTATACATACAGTGAACCCTCCTACTAATGTAGTTCCCTTTTTGTTTTTCTTGCTGAGGAGAACGTTTTGCAAATGCTGGTCATTTCAGCCTATTGAATTAGAAGATCTATAAATCAGTCTGTGTTTTCTTGCGCGGGCAGGTAACTTCAGCAAGACAAAAGATGTCTCACTCCGAGAGGCCCCATCGAGATAAAAATTACATGTACAAAGAGAACTCTGGGTCCCACAGATATGTTGATGAAAGAAGTATAAAACCTTACCCAGCAAGTGGAAGGTAAGTTTAAAAGGGGGGATAGAAGTGAAATAATCCACAGTGAAACTTATTCTTTGCTATGTTTCTTCACACTTTTCATCATGGTGATCTCTAGGGTAAAAGGAAGTTATTCACTGTCACTCTGGTTGCAAGTCTTTCCTCTGTCTTTTCATTATTTGTCATCAATATAATTCTGTTTATTAGAAAGTATTACATTGTTAATGCTCAAGGTGCTATAGTTTCCCATCTTAAACAGTTATATACTGTAGGATGATATAAATTTGAACTCACATTCTGCCTTCTTTTATAAGGAAAAAAAAATCCCCAAATCTACCATCAGGCAGGACCTTTACTCAGATGAAATGTGCAAAAATGCACAAAATGGTGAATAGTGAGAATGACAAAACCTGGCTTTCCCAAGGAGGTTGCAAAGTGGTTTCTGGGGTGGGGTTATTGTATGTATGTTGTAGCCTTTGCTCTTCCTTCGCATTCAGAGCAAGATATTAAAGTTAGCATGTATGTATGTATATGTATGAGAAACAGACCCTTTGGGGGTGGAAAAAGAAGCCTCTACTTTGCTTTGTCCCAGCTCCTCGCCAACCTAGCAGTTCGAAAGCATGAAACTGCAAGTAGATAAATAGGTACCACCTCGGTGGGAAGGTTAAACGGCGTTCCCTAGTCACGCTGGCCACGTGGGAACGGAAACTGTCTTCGGACAAGTGCTGGCTTTATGGCTTGAAAATGGGATGAGCACCGCCCCCTAGAATCAGACACGACTGGACTAAAATGTGAAGGGGAACCTTTACCTTTACCTTTACCTTACTTTCTGAGAAGGGATAGCTTTACCCCTATTTAAAATGGCCTTTTATGCTAACATGGTGTGGTGGATGGGTGGCAGGTTACCTGGCTATTTTAAAAGGAGGGGTGTCATGATTTGAAGATGTTTGAGAATTACTGCCTTAGGAGATGGTCAAGGGATTCCCCGTCTACCTGCAAAATTAATCTCCTCTTCTCTTTAGTCAGTGATCAGAGATAAGCTGCTTATAAACCAGGAAGTTTTTAGATGGAACTGCTTTGCAGTCATGGAAACTGTTGATTGTATGTGTATAAAATTGAACTGTTATTTGTGTGCTTGAAGGCTGTTGCTTTAAGCATAAGCTTGCGAGATGCATATTTGGGAAATGCTGATATTTGGTAAATAATTATATCTGGTCATGCCTGCCTTGCTTCTGCCCTGTATTCTTAGCTCTGCCCACTGCTGGATTGTGCTGTTAAGCTCCCTAAATGGATATTGGGCTGCAGAATAAAAAGTGTATCCAGCTCTTAATTTTTGTTATAAGCATGGGGCAAATAGATAAAGACATTCATTTTAAAAGATAACATCAATATTATTAAAAATGTATTTTTATAGTAGGATATTCAGCTATGCAGAAGATGAGCTGCTATCAATGTTCTGTAATGGTTACTTGTCTACAGACAGGGATATATTTGTTTATTTTATTTAACACATGTTTACCTAAAAAAAAGGATACAAGGTGGCTTACATCATTAAAAACACAATATTAAAAGCTAAAAAAATAATTTATTCATATATTAGAGAAGAATTTGTAACATTATGTTAAAAAAAGTTAGATAAAAACATTATAAAAAAACAGGTTTAGAAGCCAACAAAATATAAACCATCCTGTTTATTGTCTCCTAGACAGTCAGTTGCTAAGGAAAAGCCTGCCTGAAGTAAAAGGTCTGGTGGAAGGACAGCAAAGATGGGGCCAGTCTGGCCTCCTGTGGGAGGGAGTTCCAAGTCTGAGCTGCATGTGGTCCACCACAGAGATGTAAAATTTCCAAAAATTTCCATTTTTTTCTGGAAAAACACACACATGCTTAGAAGTGTTTTCATTTTATATTTTCTTATTATAAGAACTCTGGTGTTTTTTAGAGATATAAAATTTCTGAAAAATTCTATTTTTTTTTTCTGAAAAAAAAAACCTCACCCTTTTTCCGGCCTGTTTTTGTTCCAGAAAAAAATTGAAAGTTTTGGAAATTCTGCCATCACTCTTTTTTTCTTTTTCTTTTTTTTTTTTCCTTTTTTTTTTTTTTTGGAGGTTCCTGTCATCCCTTGGCCCCAATACCATCGTTTTGAATATGTTTTATTTTTTTGTCACTAGAGGGCATGAGAAGGGCTTTTAATTTAATTTTAGCAGAACAATCATTTTGGGACAATGTAGGGCAGGAACAAGAGCAGATATGACTGCCTGAGATCCAAGGAGGGGCGTATGTAGCCCTTTGGCCGCTGAAGGTTGCCCATCCCTGTCTTGTTAAGTATGATGTTTTTTAAAAGGGAGGTAGCCACTTCCTTATTTGCAATACATTTTGCTGTTTCAGACAAGTTTGCCTTTGCCTTTACAGAATGCCCTGCATCTTCATAGCTGACTTAGAATCACTTGGAGGTTTGGACCAGAGGTTCCTCAGATGGGATGCTCAGTTGAACAATACCATTTTATTTGTTTTTATTTATTTAAAATACTTTTATCGCACCTTTCTCCTTAAAAAGAACCCAAGGTGGCAAAGGGTTTCCCCAGCTGCCTCTTCCTTTAGACTCACAGCTCCCTGAGATGAATTATCTTTAAGTCGGAAGCCGGATTCAGCTTTTCCTGCAGATCTACCTTTTGGTGAAGGACTTGATGGTACAAGGATAGGGCGAAGAAGGGATGTCGCCTAGTAACCTTCCTGCAGTCTGGCTGCATCTTGAACCCAAGCACCTACTGCTAATGATCTGATCAGCAGTTATGCTGGTTGAGGGATCATGGGAATTATAGTTCAAAAAAAGTAACATTTTCTAGCTTTTGGAAAGGGTATCTGTTTACTGTAAATGCTCATACATTTTTCGGGTTGGTAGCTTATTAAAGAGGATGGCAGGATTGTGTCTGTGCAGAGGGGAGAAGGGATCACAAAGTTTATGTTTACACCTGCTTTTCAGACATATGTATAAGCACAGAAACTAGTTAAGTTCAAGGAAGTTACTGTCCAGCTAGACCAGTGCTAACAGTCAGTTATTTTATGTTTATTCCTTTTTAAATATCTTTGTCAGGAGAGAGAAGAATCAGGGTCTCTCTTTTGGGAAGAAGGGAGAGTGTGAATAAAATAAAATAAATGAAATAAAATAAAATAGGAGATAGAGTGGACGAAGTTGTAATTAGCAACAACCTGGCTCCTATGCAATGCTGCAGTAATGAACACTTATATAGACTGAGGTGAATTGTTATATTTTTGTTTGTGTCTGTGAGAGCTGAGGAAAGGACAATTGGTTAGAACAGGAAAAGTTGTAGAAATAAATGCTGGCTGAAAGACAGAAGCACAGTCAAACAAAATCACCGGAGTGTTGAATAAAAAGCAGTCACAATCTGGCAGTTTGAGGTAGCAACACCCCAGACTTCAAAAACAGAGCAGCGGGGGAGTTATAACTCTGATAATAACAACTGTATGCTATCAAGCTAATTGTGACTTATAGGAAGCCTTCCCGGGCTTTGAGATATAAAGTACTCAGAAGTGGTTTAGGAGTCTGATACTTTTGATAGCCTTTGGGACTGAGCAGGTAGCCCAATCCACTATACATATTCTACATGATCTCAGCTGGATCCTTTCTTAAGAGGCTCATTGGAGATTTGAACTTCTGACCTTTGGATCTATAACCAAGTGCTTCAACACACTGAACTATACCAGCCCTTCTTATAATCAAATTCATCTTTGAACTGCAAAGGGCCCTATGGATCGTCAAGCCCAGCTTCTGTTAAGGAGGTACAGTGGGGAACTGAACTCTCAGCCTCAGGCTCCACATCCAGGTCCCTAAACCACTGAGTTCTCCAGCAGTTTTCACTGCTGTATGATCTAAGTCCTAGGTTCTCAACCTTTGTTACTCGGATGTTTTTGAACTGCAACTCCCAGAAACCCCAGCCAGCACAGTTGGTGGTGAAGGCTTCTGGGAGTTGCAGTCCACAACTCCTGAGTAAGCCAAGGTTGAGAACCAGTGATCTAAGTAAATTGGTGACAAAAAGAGCCTTAATAAAAATTGTATATATTGGAAGATTCTTCCTCCTTTTCCCCAAAGTATGGAGCTCTGCTTATGCAGATCTGTATTATTCTGAGTTATCATATGCCTTGGGGGGAGGGTGGGCAACCACACTCCTCTATCCTGACAAAGATCCTCGTGTCACCTCCAAGACTGAACAAGTTAAGCTTGTTGACGTACTGAGCTACAGTTCATGAAAGTTTAGGCCAAATAAAACGTGTTAGTCTCTAAGGTACCAGAAAACTGTTAGTCACAACAACCCTTTCATAATTAATAGCATTGGAATTACTATAAACCACAATCTTTCTCCTCCTGTAGGTTACCACCAGGTACATTTGATCATTCAAAGCCTTCCATGGCTGTTGCAGAGCCGTATCTGAACCAGCCAGTAACAACTGATGGAGGCGCTGAATCCCTGCCCGAGTCTTATCCACCCAAAGAGATCTTTTCTGAGAAATGCTCAAACCTGTGCTCAAGAAGAGGTATGCAAAGTTCTCCTTTTCTTCTTTTGATCAGTTGTATCCTTTATCTAATTTGGCGGGAGAATAGTGTTCTCTATTGAGATCTGTCTTGCTTGTAGGGGTATATGTGTGCAAAATAAAAAGTTTCAGCTTTCCCTGAATTCCTTTTCAGGAAAAACAAAGAGGAGAAGTAGGTGAAGTACTTTAAATTCACAGCTTGCAGTTAAATTCCATTTATAAGCAAATTCCTGTAGATAACAACACTTGTGTAACAAGTCCTCAGCATAACAAATAATCATTGATAATGGTCTAAATAGCAGTGGGATTTCATGACCCTGGGATCAAAAGTTTCCACTGAATCTATTATTCCTAGAATTCAGAATGGCTAAATATTTCAGTGTGTTTCATGAAAGGATGGTAATCATGATACTAGGCCTCTTTTATTCTCTGAAACTAACACAGCACACACATGTACCCTTTTCTTCCTATTACCTAACAGTGGTGATTCAGTTGTTAACAATGGGGAATTCTATCTTGGAAAGGATAGCGAGGCTTTAGCATGTTTTAAGGTCAGTTTCACAGCTAGCAAATAGTGGTTCAGGATGAAGCTGTGCCACCCAACACACCTCATTAAGGCTGCAGTTCTGCAGGGGAATAATCCCTGTCAGCCTTCGTTTTCAGCTTCCAGAACAACAACTGAAATTAGGGACTAGCCCTAAAGATAAAAAGAGAGCATCCCACAATTTGAGAGTGAGACAAAGGAAGGATTGTTATAGCAGCATTGCAAGCTTGGGAGAGGTGTGTTGTTAAAGGTGCAATACTACATTCCCCAAAACATGAGGGTTTGTGTGTGTGTGTGTGTGTGTGTGTGTGTGTGTGTGAGAGAGAGAGAGAGAGAGAGAGAAATTGAGCTTGTGGGGTTATTTTAAATAATATGTAATTAGAATTTGGCAGTGAGGGCTTTGGCAATTGATTTTAATTAAGAGGGCCTGGCTTACTGTTAGGCCAGACCTGGGCAAAGTGCGGCCCAAGGGCCACATACGGCCTGCAAGCCACTCCCATCCGGCCCGCAGACAGTTTTGAACATCAAAACCATTTATAGCTTTTTGTCTAAAGTTGATCAGTTGCTTATCTTTAACATACCGCAAAAAAACTCTTTAGTATTTGTGAAGATTAACAAGTTTAAAATAAAAACATTCATAACATCACTGTTTTCTTTTTTATTTTTAAGTAAAGTTGGTTTGACCCCCCAACACAGTTCAGATTTTTCATGTGGCCCCCCCTATAGAAATTAATTGCCCACACCTGTGTTAGGCAGACCAAGGCTGTAGTCTCAGGTGGTTGGCTCTGGGAGGCAGGAGCAAGGAATGCCTGTACCTACGAATTAAGATATACAAATTTTATACCAATGTGCGCCTTCTTTTGTTTTCTGTTTTTGGCAATGCTTCTCTCTCTTTCTCTCTGGATGGTGCACGAGTGACTACTGTAGCCACAAAGGATTATGGGAAACCCTCTGAAGAGAGATGCCATCTCCCAAATCCATTTCCCAATAAATTCCTCCCTCTGTGGTATGCCTGGGAGCAATTAAAAGTGGATCTGTGGACTAGATAGAGTAGTTATTGTACTTCACAAGCTTTCTCACTACCAGCTCTAGCTACCTCAGTCTATACTTTGTTTTTAAACTGGTGTATTGTTTTCTGTGCTTGACAAATCAGGTCTATAAACGAGACTGAAGGATGCCTATGAGTATGAGAGTTTTTGAAAGCCAGGCACTTGTCTAAACATAGTTTGCTTGGATAAATTCTTATTGATAGAATGAGCACAACTTGAAAATGCGTTATTAAAGAAAGAACAGAGCAAATGTGTTTCTTCCAGTAGTTTGATAGAAGACTGAAAATAGCCTTTCACGACATCTTCTCAGCTTAGGGGAGATTTCACTATAATAATGTGTCTAGAAAAGTGATGCAGAGATTTAAATTCTCCATTGTGCTGAGACGTTATAAAGACAGACAAACCCAAACAACAGAATTATTCCCCTGTTAACCATCTATCAAGTATGCAATCTGTTCTGAAGGCAAATTCAGAGGCGGCAGTGCTATACCAACTCACCTGAGATTAAGCTCCATTGAGCTCTGTGAGACTTAATTCTGAACAGACATGGATCAGATTGCACTGTTAGTATTTTGCTTTCTGGCATCTATAACACATCCTATGCTGTCTGGCCTGGTAAGTCGTCTACAACACATTTTTTGCAGTTCTCCTATAATGCTGAGGGGCCTGGTAAGTCGTCTACAACACATTTTTTTTTTGCAGTTCTCCTATAATGCTGAGGATAGGACTGGGCAGGAAGATATTGATCAGAGTGTGCCTCCCCACCCCACACCGCTTTGGAGGAAAGCAGTTGTAGGCGGAAGGATAAATTGGATTGGTTTACAACAGGGAGACTTAATCCTCCCTCACAGGACTTCCCTAACTAAAAAGTGCCTTCTTACTTTAAGTACAATGTGGGCCCTCCTTTCCCTCCTCAGCTATCCAGTATCTGTTGCTTCCAGAAGGTGCCAAACTCTGTCAAATGTTCGGGCCAGCCCTGGATCTCTGGTAGAGGTGATGAGAAAGAGACCCGGGAGTAGTGTTGCCAAACTGGATGAGATGGTAATCAGGGGGATGGTCAAATCATTTGGCCTATTGTAAGGCAGGCTCCCTCACCACCATCCAGGCACTTATCCACAGATGTCTCCCCCTACCCCATATTACAGCATCAAAAAGTGGGAGAGCCACAGTGATTAACATTGTTCATTTTTAGTTCTGGTTCAAACCACTTTGGACTCTAGTTATAGCCACTGTTCTAACCGCACTAATGTCTCAAATCATTCACTCCTATCATGCTTGAAAAGTTACATTTTGGACAACAGATCCCAGAGTCTTTAAAAAACAGGATGGCCACTGAAAATTGAATCCAAACAAGTAACTTTCCTAGGCTTTCTGTGCCTCTCCCAGTTTTCGCTAGTATTTCTTTACCAAGCAAGTTAAACACACTTCTAATGTCTTCCACCTCACCATGACTGGGCTCTGACCCTGTACATTTTCCTGGAAGTACGTCTCCCACCCCACCCATCTCTTTTTGGCGATGCATGAAGTGGCTACTGTATCCACAAAGTAATTGTGGAAACCCACCTGAAGAGAATTCCCCATCTTTGGGGCTTATGTTTGTTTAGACCACAGGTAGCCCAAGTGTTTTTGGGCTTGAACTCCCAGATGCTTATGTTTGTTTAGACCACAGGTAGCCCGAGTGTTTTTGGGCTTGAACGCCCAGAAAGCCCAGCCAGCACAGCTTCTGGGAATTGCAGGTCTGGGTTGCTCAAGGTTGGGTACCACTGATGTAGACAGAAGCAGGCTTGCTTTTTTTAATGCTGAATCTGAGCAGATGTTGTGAACAACCATGTTCTAGTCTAGCATCGGCTCTCGCACAGTGTATGCTCCCCATCCCAGATTGTCGTCTATTTGCCTCCACAAGGACACTTGCCATTTGCAAATTAGCAAAGAGCTAAATCAAATTTCACCAGCAAATAAAATTAGGAAATAGCTGTAAAGTGATTTCTTTTTCTCCCTTAGGACATGTTCATGCATTAATAAACCAGCCGCAAAGCCATGTGTGCCTGAAATACTTTCCCCCTGACCATCCTTCTTTTCTCAGATATCAAATCAAAATCTTTTCACCAAAACAGAGGGCATACTGTCCTTAAAAATGACTCTACTTCTCTTTAGGATCAGAGTCATTGCTAACAACACTCAGATGCATCAGGAGATCAAGATCTCAGGATTTAGTAAAGGAGCTGATATTGTGGTCCTCCAGATATGCTTGGACTGTGATCATACACCACCAGTGGTTTTGCTGCCTAGGGCTATAGTCCAACAACAGGAGGAAGGTGGAAGACCATAGGTTGCCCACCCTCCTTTGTGGGAAAATAACAGTTCTGTGGTAATATAAATCTGAGAATGAATGACACAGTTAAATGCCCAGGAATAGGTTTTAGAAACAAGGGAATCAGAAATTCATGCTTTCTCTCTGTAGAAGCAACATAGAAGGTACTTCCCAGCTAAAATGAAGGTGGACCTTGTTTTTGTTACTTTCCCATATTTTGTTGGCCACCTCATGATGTACTACTGTGGGGTTCCATTAGAACAAGCAGTTAGTTCTATTCTTCTAATTCTCTAATTAATGGTCCACTCTTTAAGAAGCTAGTATTGGCATACAGAATTCTACACACACATAGACCCTGACAACAAGATTATGAGGTGGTTCAGGCTGAGAATGGTTCAATGTCACTCCGTGAGTTCATGACTGAGTGGGAAGCTATATGTCTGTTTCCCAAACCTAATCAGTGTGGGACCTGTAGCCCTTCAACTGCTGTTGGATTCTAGCTCCCTTCAGTCTCAGACAGCAATGCTACGCTATATGTCTGTTTCCCAAACCTAATCAGAGTGGGACCTGTAACCCTTCAAATGCTGTTGGATTCCAGGTCCCTTCAGTCTCAGACAGCTAGAGGTCAATGTTGCCAAGAGTTCTAGTCCAACCAGCATCTGTCCCCTTCCTTGGCTCTATCCTCCACATTGGACTGGTGTTTGATTATCCTAAGTGGTGTACTATGGATTCTCGATGTGGTGTAGTGGATAGAGTGATGAACTAGGATTCTAGAGCAGAGGGGGTTGAAATCCCCAGCTGGCCATGGAATCTCACTGAGGGGATGGAACTGGTAAAACCACACCCTTAAATATCTCACTTACCTTTAAAGCCTTATTTAGGGTTGCTATAAATTGGTTCCAGTTTGACAGCACAGAAGACACATACACACAATGATGCATTATAATATATGTCAATGGTTTAGGTATCTGGCTGCAAAGCCAGAGGTTGGGAGTTCGGTTCCCCCACTGTGTTTCCTGTCAGAAGAACCAGCCTGTGTGGCCTTGGGCAAGCTGCAAGCTAGAAAACCCTGAAAAGGGATGCCATAAGCCAGAATTGA